AAAGAAAAAATGAAAGATGAGAATATCATAAATTGGCTTAGGAAGTTATTAAAAGTATGATAGGAAAGATTAAATTTTGGGACTAAAAGTTCATTGTAGAAATCATGTTGTAGAAGAGGCGACATGGGAGAGGGAAGAGCAGATGCTTTCTCAATATCCACGACTTTTTCGTACTTAATTAATTGAATTTCGAGGACAAAATTCTTTGGGTGAGTTTTGTAATACATTAGTTTAATTAAAAGAAAAGTCAAAAAAACAAAACATTAGTTTAATTAAAAGAAAAGTCAGAAGTATTAAAAAAAAAAAAGGCAAACAAAAAAGGTGAGGCGGTGCATTTATTTTATATCAATCCATTGCCAAACAAATCCATTTGCCTACATATACAAAAACACACAGAGAGAAATGGGAACAGGGAGAAAGAAAGAGAAGGAAGAAGGGGAAAAAAAGAAGGAGAAAAAGAAAAAAAAATGGAAAACTCGCTAACGTGTTAGAAAATAAGTTCTTCTACTATTAGGCTTAAATTCTTCGAAGTTAAAGGTAAGTAAAAAGTTACTTATTGTCAAGTTATGTTTAATTTTATAGTTCTTAAATTGTTAGATTAAATTCAATTTATTAAAGGGATTAAATATAATAAACTATGAAATTGAGTAAAATGAAAGAAAAACTAGTTTTAGTGATTAAAGAGGTTTTAGAAATCCCTTAAACATGAAATGATTAAGTTTGGGTATCGCCTATTTAATTATTAAGATTACTTAAAATAGTTAATTGTTGATTTAAAAATTTTATCATATTTTAGATGGCGATACAGATATCGGGACAGCTTACCAATCGAGTTGATATTGGTGTACATAGCTTTGTGAGTGAAAAAATATATATACTTTTAAAATATATATAAATTAAGTATATTGTTAAAGTATGTGCAATTATGTGTTCGAATTACATGATTATTATGGAAATCTCTTTTATTATGATACATGTGGAATTTTAAGGATTATTTATTGTATACTTGTGACTTGGTATATGAGACATGTGATATTGAGATTTGTTTGGTATGTGAGACATGATATTGAGATCGACCAGAAAAGTACCCGTGATTATGTACTTCTTCTAGTTCACAGAGGGGTCTTGGTCGTGTTTTATACTACACTGAGGGGTTGACTGGGGATGAAGGGGTTGTGATTGTGTATATATAGTTCACTGAGGGGATTTGACTGTGTTCTAAAATTGATTATCAGAGGTTTTGAGACCCGCTTTCATTCACAGAGAGGCCAAAGGCCAGTGGCGAAAGTTTTTAGCCCGAGGGGCGGATTACAGATTTTAGTCAAATGGTACATTTTTGGTGAATTTTTCAATACATCTGATGTGATGAGATTATAGCATGATTACCATCTTATGATTATATCATGACTTGAAATGATATTTTACCACGTTATGTGAATGTCTCATGTCTTGGCTATAATTATATGATGTTATCTTACGAGTTATCAATGATATGAACTCGATTTTCGATAAAAATGTAAAAATGAAGAAGTATAATTATTTTCGAACTTCTCCACTCACCAAGCTATCAACTTATAAATTTTTCTGTAATTTTCCTACAGGTGAAAATTGATTCTTTTTAACTGGAAGAGCCTAATGATTTCGAATGAGAGCCACACGACATGTTGAGTGTTATAACTCATTTTGATGAAGCACAAAGTAAATAATTTGGGCCCATCGCATTATGTTAGCTTTGGTGATAGATTTGACATGTAGTCAGCATTTATCGTCGGCGCACGTCACGCTTTTGGTCCACTAGGGTGATTCGGAACAAGTCGAGTCAATTTTTTCTCTTTCTATTAGGATTCTAGTTAAGGATAAATGAAAATAAAAACTGGTGGATCTGGATCAATTTAGAATTATGTAGTTTTATTTAATTTTGTTTATATCTATTTAAGTAAATTTATATATGATTTTAAAATATAATAAAATTTAATTTTTAAAAGTGGATGCATATATAAAAAGTGTTGATGGAAATAGTGGTACCGGATAAGAAATTGTTTTCATCCTTGAAATACGCCATTGTTTTGCAATGAAGGATTCCCCGTCGAACATCTAAATCATACAGATAAGTCACCAGATTGTTCAACAACAAAGCAATTATTGTCTCATGCTCAGAGCCTGTCTACTATATGTGCATGAAATGATAAAAAAAAGTGATAGTGTCTGCAGAGTCTATTGTTTTTGAGTAGTGTGAGAACTTTTTTGTTGGAGGTATAAAACGAGAATTGGTTATTAACTTGGTTTGCAACAATTATTTTGTATTGGTCATTCAATTGAATGGGGGGAATTGAGGTTGGAGAAGGAGAAGGAGACGGATGAGGGAGAAATGTAAAGGATTTAGTATTATTCTTTATATTTTATTTTAATTGTTTAAAGGGTTAAAATCTGTTTTGAAACTTGATTGTTGTTTGAAAGTGCAATTTTTTATTTTCTTTTAATTTCGAATTAGGGGTATTTTTAAATGGATATTGAGTAGAATTTCCTAAATTTTGTGTAATTACAAAGACAAGATTCTCTGTAATCAATTTTTTCTGTATAAATTCTTTGAAAATATTTTTTTTTTAGTTTGACATGTAACCTAGGAACAATAATCAAATATATCTTGTCGTTACATGTTATCAATGTATAATGTGACCTGTGATATATGGCATTTTGATCTATAACCTGTTACCTTATAGCTGTAACTAAATACCTATCTAGTTGTAATCTGTTACCAATGACATGTGACCAGTGACCTGGAAGTTGTAATCAGTTATATGTTTAGTTGTGAGTTGTTATCAGTGTATAATGTGACCTGGGATTTGTGACCAAATATGTCTTATTGTGACCTTTTATCAATTCTAATGTGACTTGATACTTGTGACCAATGACGTGTAACTTGTAACCAGTGACCTAGAAGATGTAATTAGATATATGTCTAGTTGTGATATGTTATTTATCGATCACAATTTCTCAAATTTATCGCTCACAATAACAAATTTTATAAGTCACAACTTATTCACGATCACAAATTGGTCGTAAGTTAATTCTCGATTACAATTTATCAAATTAATTACAACTTATTTCTCAATTACAAATCGCAAATTTTATAGGTCACAACATATTTCACGATCACAAATTATCAAATTAATTGGTGAAAACTCATTTCTCGATCACAAAAAATATAAATTGTGACAATTACAAATTTAGTCACAGGTCATATATTTTTAGGTCAAATGTTATTTATTAACCACAATTTATTCTTTTTATTGATCACAATTATCTGGCTACAACAACTCTTTCTCAAACCTATCCATCCCTCTCCTGCTCCCATTCCCACCACCACCCGCATCAACCCTAACACTTCAAAACCAGTACCACCTCAATCAAAACTACCATCATCATCACCATCTCTACATCAAATCCTCCACCATCTCCAACCCAACATCACCAACTACACCTCAAATGCCGCATTAACCACCACCACCAAATAATTCACAAATGCCTATTTTCTGCACTAAATTTCTTTCTACCACCACAGCGCCACAACCTGCATCACAACCATGACATCCTCAATCACAACCATCGTCACCACCTCTACAATGAGAAATGAGAATATATACGAAGAAGAGAAAGCCTAGACGAAGAAAAGGAAGCCCAATGCAGATCTACGAAGAAGATGAAACAGGAATTTGGTGGTTTTATCCTTTGCAGAAGCTACCTTTCCCAATCTCATCTTAGCACATTCATTCCCTTTCGAATTTCAGCAGAATAAAAAAGCCCCAAAAACACTATACCAGTGCATCAATGACAGTGTGAATGTATGCATGTGAGAGAGATCTACGTTTTGAAGATTTTGAAATCAGCTAATCAACTTGCAAATCCGGGTTAATTACGAATCCTACCTTATTTGATAATATAATTAACACCTGATCTTTGAATAAAATTAGTTAAAACTTGATTAATGATAATATAATTTTAATTCCATGTTTTCCTGTAATGCGAAGTGCCTAAGTTCATTTAAAGAAGTGGGCCTACCTTGCTCCAATTCTGTCCTGCCAACAGGGGCTGAAGCTCTTTGTGAAAAAATAAATTTTATAATAATAATTTTTTGGAGATTGTGCAGTTAGAGAATAGGAAAAATTTTATATTTACATGTAAAGTTATTTTATTGAAAGAATATATAGTAAAAATGAGTTATGGAAAAAATTAAGTTTTTAAATTAATGAGGGTTGAATCTTTTTAAACCGGTCCAAATCACTATTATTTTGTGAAATTTGAGCTAGATGGCTGCTGCAGTGGACTGGGCCATATAAACATCTGAGAGATGACTAATTTATATAATTTTCTCTAAATAAAATTGTAAAAAGAACATTTTATTTAGAGCAAATTACATGAACTTTCCAGGCTATTGTATAAATTTTCTTATTTCACTCACAACTACAAAACTTATTAAGAGGGGTAGCATAATCTCTTATACTTTGACTATTATCTGCATATCTAAAGAATTTGAGATTTTACCCATCAGAAATTTAATTAGTCCAAAGTTAAGTTACATGTTTTCCTCCTAAATTTGTATATTATTTTTATTTTTCAGTAAATAAATACTTTTAATTTGTCATGGTTAATTTAATTAAAAAGAAAAAAAAAAGGGGAAATTTGAAAACATTTCAATTAGGAACTTTTTTTTCTAATTTTTTGGGTAAATATTGTTTTTCTGCACAATGTGCAGCACATTGTTGCCTTGTTGGATCCAAGAAGTTGAGAATAATTGCTAAGGAAGGCACCAGGTCTGTGGACAGCAAAGAAGGAGACAAAAGGAGAGAAGATAGAAAGTAAAAGTAAAAATATATATATAATAATAATAATAGTGTACCTTACTTGAGCATAGGGCAATACTATAGAGTGCATGTATAAACACTGCTTGCCTTTCTCGATGATAATAGCATGTTTACAATTGTTCTTCGTCGTGAGAGAAAATGACAGAATTAGAGTCAAGTAAGATGTTTCAACTTACTTTGTGTTATTTTATTTTTTTATTATTATTATTATTATTTTTGTTCATTTGTGGTGGTTGTCTCAAGTTTCCTTTTTCAACTTGAGCTCTATTATTCAATTGCTAGTTCAACTATGCTTCGAATAAAACTTGCGAAGCAACAAAGAAGATAGTACTTTTTATGGTCCATTCGCAGTGCCAAGAACAGCAACTTTTCTTGACCAGTTTGAAAAACTGCTTGCCACTCAACAACTTATAGCATTGTTTCATTTAGTCATCAAACTTTCTTTTCTTTTGCTTTAAGTTTGTCACTGAACTATCATTTTTGATTGGCGAACAGATAACATAAAGCTTAATCTAGCAGGTGTGGCTATTGTGTCAGAGGAGCTAACTGAGGATAGTTTTGAAACTTGGAAAAATTGCTTGAAAAATTATTTCATTGGGAATGGGCTTTGGGATGTTGTCTCTAAGGAAAGTAAACCAGATAAGACAAATAAACATGAGCGTGAAAAATGGAAGAAAAAGAATGCTTTGGCTCTGCATGCAATTCAACTTTCATGTGGATCAGCAATATACTCTAAGTTTAAAGACCACATTTCTGCTCACTATGTATGGACTCATTTGACCGAGAGGGATTGGGCTCAGGTTCGACAACCAGCACCAAGCTCAGATCACGATGAAGAGAGTCATGTCGAAGATAATGGTACTATTTCAATACTTGTAATGAACTAGTTTGTCTAAAAACTTATCATGTTATAAGAAACATGAAATTGCATTGTTTGTTCTCATTTATTTAAAAATGAGTAAGTTAGTCATCAACCATTTATTACAGTTGCACAATCAGTTCTCAAAGACGAAAATTGTTCAAATCTTTGTTAAATTGTCATGTAAACTTCAGTAACTATCTATAAAATTTAACTCTTAGATATTCTTCCACAAGAACAATGTGGTGGCACCAATTTTCCCTTTTATTTAATGAACTTTGTATTCGACACAAGCCCCTCACATACAGGTCGACAACATTGTTTGCAGGGTCGAGAAAGCACCTTGCTTACGAGCACTTATACAAGGCAATTGAAGAAGGTAAGTGGCATTCTATAGAAGAAATCCTTCGGCAGAATCAAGATGCGATTAGGGAAATAGTTTCATCACACAAAGATACAGCTCTGCACATTGCAATTTTGTCTGGACACATTGAAATTGCAGAAAAACTTGTAATCACGATGGATGCAGCTGACTTAGAACAGAAAAATGAATACGGAGCTACGGCCTTATCTCTTGCTGCGATCTGTGGTGCAAAGAAACTGGCCAAGGCAATGGTATGTAAGAACAAAAAATTAGTTACAATAGAAACTGCAGATCATGAAGATGGGCATCTTCCTGTGATTGTGGCTGCATTGTATGGAAAAAAGGAAATGGTTCGTTATTTATATAAAGTGACGCCAAAAGATGAGCTCAGTCCTGAAAAGGGTGAAAATGGAGTCACACTACTCAATTCCCTTATTACTGCTGAAATTTATGGTATGTGAATGGATAATGAGTGGAGTCCAATCACACTTTTGAATAATTCCCTCAAATGCAAATAAACCTAATATTTTTGCATATATACTACATATTTTAGGTGGCCATTTTTTTCCACAGTAATGAAGACAGAGTATTCACGTTGAGTGTGAAGTACTAGAAATCACTGTTTGAATGCAATTTATAAACTGGTTTTAAATTCAGTCAGAATCTAACATAATTTCAAATACGAATTCATAATTACCACACATTATTATCCACAATTTTTTGTGGAATTCACTACTATTTCTCATTATAAATTGATCTATAAATTTGCTAGATGGTTTTTTTATTTCGGTTTACCAAAAGTTTTAGTAGAAATTGAGATTAGGGCTTAATCCCTATGATATGGATATCTAATTAATGCTTTTTTGCTTATTGTAGATGTTACTTCTATGCTATTGAAAAGGTATCCAAAGTTGGGTGCTACCCGAGATCATGGTGGTAATTACACACTCAAAATATTGGCTCACAAGCCTTCCGCATTTCTTAGTGGGACTAAGCTTTCATTTTGGGAAAGATGGATCTACCATTGTAAGTACATAAATGCTCTCCTATTAATTTCATTCACAAACAATTTTACCTCAAGGGCACATTTAGATAAATATTGGTTTCTTTTTCATACTATCTAGTGCAATTTATAAACATGCTTTAAATGCAAATGTTGAACGTTAATCATTTTGAAAAAGTAATCTGAACTTTTTACACAAGGTGTAAGTGTACACACACCTTGGGACAACGAGCATGTAGAAATGCAAACATCAGGTACTAGTGATCATCACATCATTCAAATTGATGAATCAAGCGACGAAGATCTGATGGGAAGGATTTCTATGACTACTCGAGGTATGTCAAATACCACCACATTCCTCCCTTTCCTAAATTTAATTTAGAGGCATAAATCAGGCCATGATGACTCATTGACTATCCCTGGCTCGGCTCGGCCAGTTCATCCCATGCCTAAGTCTTTTTCTAAATTTAGTTTGAACACATGGACCCATGATCCGTCACAGTTGAGCCTGGCCAACTGTAGATGTGGGCTGACCACAACATGGCCTGTGATGGGTCTGGCTGGCTTTCATGTGTTATGTGGGCCTAGGCTTTGATAACCAAGTACATTTTGACACTCTAAGTAAAATCCTGTTGTACAGCTCTAGAGTTGGTGCGCAAATCCGGTTGGGGGATATTGCAATTTCTTGGTATGTATCATCTTCCTCTATAAATATATAATTTCCGTTACACATGAATTGAAAATAAATAACACATGATTGGCTATTTAACATTAGTTTTCTTAATTTTTCAGTTCCAGAGATCAATTACATACACCAGAGGAAGTTAGTCCATGTCGAAGTTGTGAAATTCCTAAGTCACGTGGTTAAAGAAGTGCGACATCTGAGCAAATTAGATCTTGAAAAAATGGACATGGATACAATAATATATGATGCCATAAAGCATGGAATTTCTGAATTTATAGAAGAAATGATTAAATATAAACCCGAAATTATATGGAGAAAAGATAAAAAAGGGAAAACAATTTTTTCACATGCAATTGTTTTGCGTCAAGAGAAGATTTTTAGCCTTATATTTACTTTAGGAACAAAGAAGAGTATAATGGCAAGGAGGCATGATATGTTTAAGAACAATTATTTACATCTTGCTGCAAAATTATCTCCTCCTCCTCAACTTCAGAGGGTATCTAGAGCAGCCCTACAAATGCAAAGGGAACTGCAATGGTATAAGGTAATGTTAATGTATGTGTGTGGATGTGAGCATGCATGTTACTGTTGTGGTTGTTATTCAAGTCATAATATCTAAAAGTTCAAGCTGTTGAGAGATATCGTATACTTATTTATTTGAATTTTATCTTCAACATGCTCCCTCTCTACAACACGTACAATTTTTATAAATAGGTGATAGTTATTGAACACTTAATTCACATATATAAGTTTGTCTTGTTTCCAAAAGTTTAAGCTTTATATGAGGTGATTCGATATGGAGTTCAAATTGTGCACGTGATTTCATCCCAAAAAAATTAGTCCAAAGTGACATATAATATGTTGTAATTTTTCTCTTCCCTACTCACAAATGTTCTTGAATTCACGACATTTTATCTACTCTAATGGTACGTCAATCTATTTTATCTAAAGTTTTAAATCCTCATCTTAAGTTGTTTCTTCCAATAAACAGGAAGTCGAGAGCATAGTACAATCCAAACTCAAAGAGGAAAAAAATGCGATCAACAAAACACCCGAAATGTTATTCACTGATGAACACAAGAAATTAACCAAAGATGCAGAGAACTGGGTGAAAAGCACAGCAGGATCAAGCATGATAGTAGGCACTCTAATTGCTGCTGTAATGTTCACAACAGCTTTCACAGTACCAGGTGGTAATAAAGAAAACTCAGGATTGCCAACAATGCTGGAAACTCAAAGAACTCCATTCTTGATTTTCATGATTTCAAATGCCTTGTCAATGTTCAGTTCCAGTACGTCGCTGTTGATGTTCTTAGGAATTCTTACGGCTCGTTATGCAGAAGAAGATTTTCTCAAGTCTTTACCGACGAAATTAATATTTGGATTGACATGTTTGTTCTTTTCGATCGTTACGATGATGGCATCCTTTGGTTCTGCATTGTATCTGATTCTACATGAGAAGTTGTCTTGGGTTACCATTCCGATCATCATCCTTTCAACGATTCCGATAGTTCTTTTCTCCATCTTGCAGTTCCCTCTCTTGATTGAGATGACATATCAGACTTATGGATCTGGGATATTTGATAAACCTAAGAGGAAATCCTACTTTGCTAAGTTCCCAGCAGGTTTGGTTTGGTGGAATAAATAGTGTTTGCCACTATTGAGGAAGAAAAGAAATTAAAATCTTATCGTATAGTACTATTGAATGTGATGTTCCAAATGTGCTCTTTAGTTCGTTTTGGTCTCTGTCATTTTAATTGTTGATGCATCCATGGTGTTTTTTCATATGAATTCAACTTGATGGAATGTTCTCCTTATAGCCACATGGCATGCCATTGTGAATTCTATTTCGCATGTTGCAGTATTTTATAATGCAAAATTAGAAGTTAATTTTAGATTACATGTCTTACAAATTATCTTGCCTTCAAACTGGTAATAGGGCTTTGAAAAAATCAATTTAAAAAACAATGTCCAACAATCTTGTTTCCCTTGTGCCTCATTATGATGGAAAAAAATTGATTATTATTTCATTCATCAACCATATATACATTCAGTCATCCATAAATAAATCCAATCATTCAAATAAATGCATAGAACCCCCTAGGAATCGCACAACTTCAAAATCATGCAATAAATCAAATTTTGGAGTGGGTGGACCCAAGATTAATTAGACCTTGAAATAATGATAGAAAGCAGAAACATATTGTTGAGAAAAATTTAAAACAAAATAGAAAACTAAAAAAGTAATAGTGACTTAATAGGGCAGACCCAGGATTAATTAGACAGGGGCTTGCAAGTTCTTTAAAAGATGACTTTGACAATACAAGGAACCGTAAAAAGTAAAAAAACTTAATATAAGATGTCAAAAATCAATTTAAAAAAAAAGGTAGGATGATGAAAATGAGGGCATGGTGAAACTTACCTTTAAATTTGCGTAATTAATGCAATACATTACCTTAAAAGACTAAAAAAGCGAAATCAAAAATATTACAAAAGTATCAAAAACATGAAATACTAGTACCTTAAAAAACTAATGTATGGGGTGTACTTAATTGGGACTTTTAAAGTCTGTTTGAAATTTAAAAAGTTTAAAAGTATTTAATATGAACATTTTGAGACTTTCTAAAAGTATTGGTATATTCAATGAAAACTTATAGACTTTTAAAGAATCTTTAAAAATCACGTGGGATGTCAATGAGCCGAATCAAGCTGGCTCACGAGCTGAAACTTGAGGTTCCAGGCTCGACTCGAGTAAAAATGGTTCAATTTTTTTAGGCTCAAGCTTTTCCTCGAACAAAAAATCTAGGCTCAGGCCTTATTGAGCCGAGTTGGGCCCGCTCAAATTTTTGTAAATATATACACAAGCAACCTGCAAGCAAGCAATAGTACATGCAGCTACATTGCTGCAATAATTTTTTTAAGAATCTGCTCGTCACTAATCAAAAATTGGCCGTGACACGAGCTGCCAGTGTGGTTCGTCGAGCCACATGGGCTGGCTCTGGCTATGGCTCTAGCTCGGGTTCGAACCAGTGCTCCAAAATGGGGCTTGACTAGAGCCTCGAGCCTGGCCGACTAAAGCTTTTTTCGAGTCTAACACGAGCGACCCAAACCGACTAGTCTAATTGACACCCTCTAAAATCGCGGCATAGTCAATTAAAATTTTTTAAAAAGTTTGGAGTATGTAAATTGTCAATGACTTATAAATTTTTTTATAAAAGTCTCTAACATGCTAACTTTTAAGGAGACAGTAGAAAAGTAAAATATTAAAATTTGTCTCTCATTCATTCTAAGATTTTGGAAAACTTTCACAAATAAAAAATATATATTATTATGTATTTTTTATCTCTTTCAATATTTCTATTTCCTTTTTCCCTTCTATGGACATTAGAGTCATGATTAAAATATTATTTTTTTCTACGGGTTATTTTTGTTTCTATTTTTCTTTTTTCTATTTTATTTTTTATTTTTATTTTCTATGAAAATAAATTGTAATTAAAGATGCTTATAAAAAAAATTTAACAATTTGTTATGAAAAATATCTATATAGTTAAATTATAAGATTTTTATATAAAAAAGTACTAATTTATAATTAAACTTATATATTGATTTTCTATATATGTGTGAGCGCGCGTATGTTATTTTGATTACTACTTATTTAATTGAGGTTACTCAATTTTTTGTTATTTTAAAAATATTTTTTATTACGTAAAGAGAGGAAAGAGAATGTAGAAACCAATGAACCACAGCGCACATACGATGTGAGAAGTGAGAACTTCACACTGTTGCATTAGAATAACGTGAATTTCATTTTAAATGAAAATTTTCAAAATCTTTTGAATTCTACAAAAGTTTATAAAAGTTTTAGAATGAAAGTCTACAGAAGTCTACGAATGACTTCCATTGATTCCATACAAATCTATAGAAAAGTCCAAAAAAATTACAAAAATTATCGAGTGAATTGCCCAATGGTCACTGAAAGTTGTAGAAAGTTTGCAGTGGGTCACTAAACTTTAAAAATCACCTAAATAATCACTGATCTTTATAAAAGATTTCTACGAGATCACTGTACTTTAAAAATCACCCAAATGATCACCGAACTTTGTAAAAGGTTTCCACGAGATCATCGAACTTTACAAAAGGTTTCCACGAGGTCACCGAATTCAGTGATTCCTAGTAAACATTTTGTAAAGTTCAGTGATCATTTAGATAATTTTTAAAGTTCAATGACTCCGTAAAAATATTTTCCAAAGTTTAGTGACCATTTATGTGATTTTTAAAGCTCAATGATCCTTTGAAAACCTTTTGCAAAGTTCAATGACCATTTGGACAATTCACTCAAAATTATCACTTAAAAAAAAGTCTATAAAAGTTTTCAAAAGTCTCATTGGACACACCCCCTACGTTGCTTTTTGCAATTCCTCAAATGACTAAAATGATCATTATTTATTAACTCTGTATTAGTGCCGAGAACTACAATATACAAATTCAACGAAATAATATCAAATTTTCAATTCACCAATTCAATTAAAATAACAATATATATACAACTCGTATCAACCAGAAAATTAGCCATACTTATAAATTTGATAATAACTGACATCAAATATCATTTTATTTAAGTCCACCACTTAACAGTTTTTCATTTCAAACTATGTGGTGGCATATATAGCTAATCCTGAGTTTTTCAAAATGATACCCAGAACCTTTTCCAAAGATTGAAATATAGGCCAAAAAATAAGCCAAAAGAGGTGATGGCTATGAATTAGATTTCCAACGCACTATTTTGATCTCATCGTTAGCGGTTTAGCAGATTGAAATATGCATTGCAAAATACACTGTGAGTACTTCAAAACGTTATTAAAAACATCGATTATGAATTGAAGCACAAACTACTCTGTGAAATATGTAGGTTGCAAAAGTTTCTATATTTTTTTGGGGATCTGAGTGAAGGATTTTATGGATATATATTCTGTTCCAAAAAGTTGCCAGAAATTTAATTAAAAGATGTTAAAGTTGTTATATAAAATGTAAAAACTTTCCTTGCGATTAGGAAACATACGAGCAGCTTGCATTGCATGATTCTACAGTGTTTTTTGCAGTTGACTAAGTGGACAGTTGACCATAAGAAAATTTTGTTCAATTTAAGTGCAGCAGAAAAGGAAACATAGAACACAAATAATCTCAACATTATAATTTGAAGAATACTCGAGTTGGTATGTAATTATCTTCATATGTATGTTGCGATGAGGCTTATCATGGTTTAAATTGAAAACCACTTTGCAAAAGCGAATAATGTTTGCCTACGAGCGAGTGTGATTTTAAACTTTGAAAGCATTGATTAAAAAAAGGATTACAGAAAGACCTAGTAGAATTTTAAAATTTAAAATGTTACAATTGAGATATTCTACCTCGTTATGTATAAAAGATTATTACAATTTTGCCATTTGGTAAGACATTGCACATGTTATATTAACTCGATACATTTAATACACCCATTGTTTTATAATGTTTTGTATAGCCATAAAGGCAAGAAGAAAATGATATTTGTTTTACTTGATTAAGAAAATATTTATGACAAATTTGGCATGGTGAACACTACAACAATGGACAGTATTGAAGAAGAATAAAATGTAAATCTTTTTTATTGTACTACGGATCGACCTCTAACTTATAGAATATGATCTAAATGGTATAGTTGATTTTGCGACATTAAAGATTTTGAATTATACATACATCATGGAGAAATATAGGTGGTGGAGCTCGATAATGCTACCCAACCTTCACACCATCTGAGGTGGTGGACATACTGGTATTCAACTAGCACATCTTGAGTTCAAGCTTCAATTTTTTTCCTTTAGAAATCATATTTCAAATCCACTTGAATAATAAGGTGTTTTGTCGATAAATTTCATCTGCGGCCACTAAATTTTACGTAAATTTCAGTTGGGTCAATAAACTTCATATTAATTAGGTCACTGGTTTCAAATTTCATCATTCTATTAAAATGAAAATGGTAAGACACAGATTATAGCGATGTCTTTAGATTAAATATTTAAATGTATTTTTTTTATTTAACAGTTTCACGTAATTGACATACCATGCATCAATTACATGGAAGATTCATTGTGGCATGGCTGCTGATTAAATGGTCTTCATTAATTTGGAGAAAGCAGGTGATAAAATGGTGAAATTAGAAAATAAATTGAAGTTTTAATGATCCAATTGAGATTTTGTCGAATGTTAAGTGACAAAAAATGAAATTTACACGTATTTTACTTATGACTTCTTCTAAAACAACAGCGATGGAAGTGAATATTGATGGGCGAATGACCTTTCGAAATGTGTCCTATACATAACGAACGGAAAAGGGGATCAAAAATTTTCTTCTGACAAGGGGGATAAAAGTTTTTCATGAATTAAACAAGAGGGTTTTTCCTAATTAAATAGAAACCTTAAGACAGATCAAACGTTCCTAGAATTACCTACAAAATTTCCAAAGCTAGGAAAGATTTTTATCTTCTTTTAACAATGGGAAATATTTTCTTATTCTTTTAAAAGAAAGAGATAACTGCACGTTTTCTACGTGGTATTAGATCATATGGAATAGTACATTAAAAGACAAGATTTTAGTTTCGTTTTCTTTCTTGATATTGTAACGTTATATAATCACATTACCAAACATGAATTCAATATATGATTGTTCATATTAGTAGGCTGTACTCTCTACTTGCTCTATATTCCATCAGTCACAAAATTTCTCTCTCTTGGTTTTCATCTTAACCTCTCGATCCTTGCGGGATGGAAATTGTTGTGGCATTTTCAAAGGTAAATTCGGAGATTCTATTACAGCGTTTCCAACGTATGAATGGCCCTCGAGAAGGAATCACATGTTCGAGTTTCTGAAACAATCTTCGTGCACTATTTTTCTTTTAAACGACCCTATGATATTATTGTTTACTAAAGTTTGTGGGCCATGATGTCATGACCTGGATTCTATATTGTGCTGCAGATAAAATGATCACGTCATTCAAACTGATATTTCAGTGATAAATTTTTCCGGAAGTCTCATGGATACTAGACAAAGAATGTGAGTTCATTCTTGTATTGGGTATGTTTCTTATCCATGGATTCTCCTTCTCAATTGTCTTAACATTCAATCTTATGTAGTACTTTAAGCCCCGCATGAACTTTTTCCTTGGGAAAAATGTCGTATATTCGGTTTCTAAGAACTTAAGGCACTTCATCATGCTAGAGGCCTACGCCTGTTGACGAGAAAGATAAAAAATTTGGAAGGTTTTGATCATCAGATTGTGAATGCGAAGGTTTCGCATGGTATTATATCATATGTAGTAAAGAACTCAGTTCAAGTCCCGTCTGCCGTAAATTTGTGAATATTCACCTGCCTCTTAAAAAAAAATAGAGTTTATGATTTGCATTTGAGCGGTACTTTTATAAGAGAGACGAGTCTAAATAAAAAGATATCATTTCCCTTTTAACGACTTAAGCTTTTAAATAAGGTTTTTTAACATAGGAAATAGTTCAAAAGACTATGTAATTGACATGATGAAGTGACAGAATAATACAACGGCTTGTTTGTTAAGTCAGACCTGACGCGCTCGAAAATGCGCATAACCAAAATAAGTCTGTTCACGTGGCATTTTTCTTAAGTTATGACCAGTTATACCTAATTTGATATATCAACAAGCCATAAACGTGCAAAGATATATACACACACACATTCAAGTAATACTGGTTCTTACTGTTCTTATTTATTTGTTTATTACGGATTCAGTTCATCTTGTTTACTCTAACATGCGTCTGCATGCCCTATTAACAGAGATGATGCATATAAGAAAAGGTTGCAGAAAATCAAATTTAGAAGTGTTGAGAATCCTTTCCAGTTTGCCATTGCAGGGAAGAGTACTAGAATCAAGATCCACCCACTAAAAATTGTCCTGATTACCATTGTTCTTGGAACACTTGTAACAATTCTTTTATCTCCACCAGTTTATCAACAGAAAAGTATATTTCACAACTTTTCCAGGTAAATTCTACATTCAACAACTTTTTTCACTTGTGCATCAACAACAACAAACTAAATTTTATTCTCAGATAAATTTAGGGTCGACTATAGGACTCCTTTTTGGCTGGTCCTTTCAATCCATTAGAATTCATATCATAGGATGTGCTAAAATTTATTCTGGCTGTCAACTCACCGCAGCTCTGTTATATGGTTTAATTGAGCTTGTACAAGTCTTCTATTTTGATTCCGTCTTAATAAATAATGTCCCATTTAAAGTGTTAGTGCGTGGCCCTTCGAATTCGAGTCAGATATTCTTCCATTGCAGGCTTTAAACTCCCTTGAACTTATAGAACACATAGAGGCCCCGTGCTTTTGTTCAAAAACCTTGTTCGCGAACTTTTATAGAAAAGACCATAATAGAAGTAGACCTCAAGAAAGGGTAACTGACACAAAACACCCCTAACCTTTGGCTCTATTGACATTTTCTTTGCAGAATACGACCTTTTCATTTTTGCGGAAAATCCCCCTATATGACATTTTCTTTGAGGAATACAACCTTTTTTCCATTTTCTCCATAAAGCCTTGCAAAATAACGAATATATCCTCCTCTTTAAACAAAACAAAACAAAACAAAAAGAAAATAAAAAATAATTAATTAATTGCCTCCCAAATTTTTCAAAATAAATATACAAATGAACTCCAAATAATTAATTAAAAAATTAAATGGACTTATAAGTTAGTTTTTACATTTTATTTAAAAAATTAAATAAATATTTATTCGTTTTTATATTTTATCTAAAAAATTAAATAAATAATTTTCACTTTTATTTCTTTTATTTATAATATTATTCACATGTCAGTTAATTTTTCATCTTCTAAATCGTTATCAATTATTTTTTTATAATTAGTATTAGTATAAACTATGTACACGTAAATCAAATGAACGACGAGTCAACGACAATATCATCAAATATATGATCGACGCTTTTCAATAATGCATAGCTTATATATTGAAGCCACATTTTGTGAACAGGTGGATATGGGGCGAGTTGGATCCTCGATACGTATCAGATTTAGACATCAATTCGCATGATATTCTAAGAGCACTGGAGCAGTTACCTGAAGATAATAAGATTCGACGAGTAGGCCTTCTCAATTTTGATAAGAGCGAAATCCATCAATGGAAACAGCTTATTCCCACGGCTAATCACGAAGTTCTACACCTGGATTATGCCCAGAAAAACATTACTTGGGATTCCTTGTATCCTGAATGGATTGATGAAGAACAGGATGACATAGTTCCTAGTTGCCCTCGTCTATCTAACCTTAAAGTCCCAAGACATCGCCCTGATCTTGTTTCTGTCAAACTCCCTTGTCGTAATAAAGTGAATTGGTCGAAAGATATTGCTCGACTACACTTGCAGATATCAGTGGCTGGTTTAGCTGCCTCTTGCAAAGGTAGATACCCTGTTCATCTTCTTTTAATTACAAAGTGCCCACCGATACCAAATTTGTTCACGTGCAAGGATCGAGTTGTTCGTGTTGGCAACATGTGGTTATATAAACCGAACATGGATGTGCTTAGAAAAAAGCTTCAGCTTCCAATAGGATCATGTGAACTTGCACTTCCCCTTGGAGCCAAAGGTAAGTTCTATCTAGTTTCGCGCACTAAATATTCTTGATACCAAATATGGGATTTTGCCAAACGTCAAACTTGATTCTTTGATAACATCACGAAGTGCGTGTTACTTAATACTCACTAATCGTATAAAGATTTGTTTGGCACATAACAGCACAGGATTACACCAGAAACAGGCAACGAGAGGCTTACGCTACCGTCCTGCACTCGGCCAACGTCTATGTGTGTGGAGCCATAGCTGCAGCCCAGAGCATCCGCATGGCTGGATCCACCAGGGATCTCATTATCCTTGTCGATGACACAATCAGCGAATACCACAAAAGTGGACTCGAATTAGCAGGCTGGAAAATCCGAATAATACAAAGAATCAGAAATCCTAAGGCCGAAAAAGATGCCTACAACGAATGGAACTACAGCAAGTTCAGATTATGGCAACTTACAGATTATGACAAAATAATCTTCATCGATTCCGATCTGCTTATTCTCAAAAACATCGATTTCTTGTTTTCGATGCCAGAAATCTCTGCAACGGGGAACCATGGAACACTTTTCAATTCTGGAGTAATGGTGATTGAGCCATCGAATTGCACATTCCAGTTTTTGATGGATAATATTAATGAAATTGAATCATATAATGGTGGAGATCAGGGATACCTGAATGAGGTTTTCACATGGTGGCATAGATTTCCAAGGTATATGAATTTCTTGAAGAATTTTTGGGTTGGGGACGATGAAGAAGTAAAGCAGAAGAAAATTCGGCTTTTCACAGCAGAACCACCGGTTATTTACGTTCTTCATTATTTGGGTAATGTTCTAGCCTTATTTCATGTAAATGGTGACATTGTTTGTATTCAAATCTCATCTCAATTATTTTGTCTCGAAAGTAAGGTCATCCAGATGAGATTAGCTATAAGTTTGGCATGTGCAAAATTTTTCAAGAATAGACAGTTGCGAAACTTGATTCCACAATCATTCTAACATGTTGAACCAACTCATCTAAAAACTTGAGTATTCGTCGTTTCAACAGGTAACAAGCCATGGATGTGCTTTCGTGACTACGACTGCAACTGGAACACAGATTTCCTACAAGAATTCGCAAGCGACATAGCCCACAAGAAGTGGTGGAAACTTCACGACTCCATGCCAGAAACACTCCAACAGTTTTGTCTATTGCGATCAAAACAAAAGGCTCAGTTGGAATGGGACAGAAGGCAGGCTCAAAAGGCAAACTATTCTGATGGGCATTGGAGAATCGAAATAAAAGATGAACGCATTGACAAGTGCATTGATCCTCCGCATAATTGCAACTGGCGAGGCATGTTGAATCATTGGGGGGAGACGCAACCGGCAAACAGTGCAATGCCTATTCCCACTCCACCAGCAATAAATATAAGCTCTTTGGGATTATAAGCTTGCTTATTTTGAGATTTTGTTTTAAATTTGAATGCTATATGATATAGTTTAATTATAGATGCTTTCAGGGTTTTCTTTGTTTTGTGTTTTCAACTACTTTACATAAGATCTTTTCTACATGGAAGATCAAGTAGAAAGGGTAGTGTTAGGCGAGTTTGATCGGCCGACCCTTTTTATGTAATCCTATGCCAGCAAGCTATAGATCGAACACAAGACAATCTAAATAACCAGAGACCTAGCACGTCCCATAGATTTTAGATTAGGTTGGGGCTGGCTGGGTTAAGCCAATGTAGTGCTCAAAATTACTCGTAACAATGCATTATAGCCAATGTAGAGATTACAATCAGATTTTTAATAAATTTTGATAAAAGTTGATGGAATATGTATGATTAAAAAGTTGTGTGCTATATGAAATAGTTAAAATTAATTGATAACTTTGACTTAGATTTTAACAATTTTTTTAGCGGTACCAAACAGAGGCATAAGCTTCTTTCCATCTTTCGTGTAGCATAGCTCCCACTTTTAATACTTGCATTTCTCAATTATTTTTCTTCGTTGATCCTATTGTTCAATTGCATTCAGTATTATGTACAACACATTGACAGCATGCTTAGCACAATTAGACCATGCAAAAAAGTGAAACTAGATACAAATATTATAGCCTACGTGCAGTGGCGACGCAGACATTTTAAATTAGAGGCACAATCAAATTTGCAAAAAAATTATGAAAAAGCTGCAAGAGCCAATTTTTTCAACTCAAGTGTGAGTGCTTGTTCAACCTTGCAACTCCTAAACGCACATAACTTTGTCTCGAAAATATTAAATTGGGATCAATAAACAAATTCAAACTTAAACTAAACATAGAAAGTCCAACAACTCCAATTGGGCGGAGGACGAGGTTAATTTGGTTGATCTTAGTGAAGTTTTGAAGCTGTCTTGTGAAATGAAGTATCCACTATGTGCTGTTACCGTTTCAAGGAAGGTTCCATTTTAGTGTGTTCTTAATTTTGTCTTATTAGGAATGTTTTCTACTTATATGTCTAAGGTTCTAACATAATATTTGATATTTCCTAGAATTGTTCGTGTTTCCTTGTGTAGGCGATAAATGTTGGCTCCAAGTTTTGAACTCATTTTTCTCAGGAGCCTATTCTCGGCTGATATTGCAATTTATATTAATGTTTCCTATTAATTTCTCTTTATATTTTCTTGTCAATGATTTCTTGGAGATCGGAACATTTTGTATTAGCCCTTTGAAATATTGAAATTGCAATGGACTGATCCTGTTGGAAGTGGCTTGTGAATGGACATGCTGGAAAGCATTTTAGGTTTTTGTTTAGGGTAAATATTATTTGCGGTTGTTCACTGCGACAATTGTCTTAAGTGTCATACACGTAAAGCCTTTTAGGTTTTTGTTTAGGGTAATATTACTGCGGTAGTTGTCTTAGATGGCATACACGTAAAGCATTTTAGGTTTTGTTTAGGATTAATATTATTTATAGTTGCTCACTACGACAGTTGTTTTAGGTTACATACATGTGACAAGTAGTTCTTTGACACATTAACACAACGTGGTAGTTTTTTATTGATTTATGCATCAAACAACTATTTATCATGTGTGTGTTACATAGGATGATTGTCGCAGTGAACGATTGCAAATAACGTTTTTTTTTTGTTTAGATAAAATTACATCTTATTAGAGCATTGTAAGACATTATCTTGTTAAAAGATATTCTTTAATTTAAAGGATCAATGTTTAAAATTAAGGCCCCGTTTGAACCGTTAAAAATGAAAAATATAGTCGTTACGAATCCCACATAAGAGATAGAAAATCAAATATAATGGTTTGATGTGATGAATAACGATTATATTTTTATTTTAATAGACAAATAATGGGAAACAAACAGAAGCTAAGCTTTGATAATATTGAGTTTTGGCTCAGACAAATTAACTTTCTATACAAATAATTACATCCCATCAATCCTCAACCTATTACGCTATGAACTTCTATTTTGTATTTTTAAGCATGTTCTAAAGGAAAATCTAGTTCCATAATTAGATACAACGAGAATCATGCAATATTTAAGGCTTATAGTTGCAAACATAGACAAATATGTTGGGGACTAACTTGTAATTAGAGAAAGCCTTATAGTTGCATTATCAATAATAGTGAAAAGGATAATAGAAGAAATTATTTAAATTTTTGTTAAATATTTTGAAAGGATTCCTATGAGAATGCGACTTTAAGGCCATGTTTGATTTACATTATTTGGAAAAAATACATTTTTAATCAGAAATTTAACATCATTTCAATCACACAGTTTTCAATAAAATAATATTAAAAATAAATCCAAAATTTTTTCTCATTTTTTAATCACATATTTCTCATCAATACACTATTTAAAAATGCATTTTTTCCAAAATAAAATTTCTTGGATGATCTAGGGTGTGATGCAAAACTCAATTTCATAAATTAGAGTTACGAAAATTATGCAACAATTGATCATATACTCTGAAAATTTCCATTCTTAAGGACTAACTTGTACAGATTATGTTACTGTGATCCACGTGGCCATTTTTCACTGGATGTTGAATTAAAAAAAATAAAAATAAAAAATCAGCCATACAAGTCCATTTTGCAAACAGCTTATTTCTTTAGTTTATATTACTAGGATTAATCGGCCTAGATAGGCTGTAGGTATTATGTTTATTCGATGAATTAATTTATTTGTACAAGATTTGCTTACGAATTTACTGTTGACAACATTTAGCCCATTGATTTCTATTGATTTGAAAAATTATTTTTGAAATAACTGGTCTAAATGTTGTCAACACATACTTAATGCTTATTTGGTAGGGATTCTGATAATTAATTTTTTTATCGTTAGAGATAAAGTGGGTCCTATTTGTAAGAGAATAATTCAAAAATGACAGTTAAAATAGAGAAATAATAGACAAAAAATTGATTTTAATTAGCTTAAAAACTCTGCCAAACAAGCTCTTAGTAAATTAAGCTTGTCAATTTAGTTTGTGCAAATAACATGATTCTTATTTGTTTGTAAGAAGATTGAAAACAAATAATTGACAGTTTTGACTCTAAATTAGGTCTTACGTAACGTCACAGATTTGGTCAATTATTTCTAAAATAATATTGATTTGGTCAAAGTATTCCTAAATTAGGTATTACCAAACGAAGAAGATTTGGTCAAATACTTCGGAAATCACATCTACTTTTGCTCTTCTGATTTATTTTCCTTAAAAAGGCAGATGTTTTCATTTTATTTTTATTTTTTTTCAAAACAATATTGATAGTAATTGAATAATCAATTTGATTTATTTTTTTACCTATCCATTTATATTGTTTATTTAACAGGAGCATATGACGTATCATTTATTCACCTACATATTCTTAAATTTCTTTTAAAAGTTTCAGGTGACACGCCCTTACTCTTACTTAATGGAGTGAATTCACATTTCCTGCAAATATGTGAAATTGCAAAGGTAATTTACAAACATATGCTAAGTAATAGTAGGTCTATAGTTAAATTACACTTACCAAGCTAGATTTGTTTGAACATGTATCTTCTTTTGAATCAACATGTGATGTGTCTCCATGTGCTGTCGTCTTTTCTCCTTGATTACTAAAACAGCTTTAGATATTTCTTGGCATATATTTTTTCACATAGCAAATATTGTCTTCATGAGTTGCTCTATCCATGAATTTGCTTTCTTCATTTGACTTCATTTTATTTATATATGTATTACCAAGTAAGTGGTCCATATCAATCTAGAAAGTCTTTTCTACTCAATCAAGTTCTCTCTCTCTCTTTCAAGTCATACTGAGACAAAAGGTTATACCGTATAGTAGGTTTATGTGGGATATGGCTCTTTTCTATAGGACATAGATAACAAGCCATTTCTAGACGTAACTCTAATTATTTAATGGATTTTCTCTTAAATATTGGGGAGCTCTTTTGGAATTGGATATACATGGAGTAAAAACTTTTTATCTTCTATCTTGATTAGAGGAGCATTCATCGGATATATTTAGTATAATGTACCACCCCATTCCATTGGGGAATACTACAATGGGGTATTATTTCTTTTCCCATCACTTTTCCAAGGCCTGCTCTAAATTGGTAATCATCCATGTATCCTACAAGTAGAGTAGTGCCCTCAAACTTATGGTGATAACAGTATATGTTAATTCGTTGCTTTTCTTTTTGTTTAGACTTTTATATTCTAATCGTGCTTTCAATGAATTTTGCACCCTAGTGGCCATTATCCTTTGTTTGCCTTCTGAGATCCATGAAGCGGAGAGATTGCTTCATCCATTTAATTCTAACTTCAACAACTTTGATGTTCAAACCAACATTGGTGAGTTGATGCATTTATTTCTTTATCTACAGTTCCAAGGTATTTCATTGACTACTTCTATTATTTTTTTTAATTCCCTTAACTATTTCTAATGTCAAGGAACTTCTTCACCCATGAATTTAGGCTCTTACAAACCTGGATGGGCTACCTACATTCCTGTTTGGAATTTGATCACGCAGTCAAACCTCCTATCACGAGGGTAAGGCGAATTGTAGTCTCCCGTTGCTTATGTTTTAGTTTAGGGTTGTTGTCATTAAAAACCATATGGGAATGGAAAATAGAATAGGTCAAACGAATTCGGGTAAAGCTTGATCTCAAGAATGTTTCCACCATTGAATTTGGTTCTTTCTTATTCCGTGCCATCATGATAAATTGGATAAGAAAATCTTATCCTTATTTTTGTCGCTCAAATTGCCAAGTGATGTTATCCCTATTTTAATCAATCTGGAGAGAAATGGGGCAAGGACCTTACTACTACAGAAAGAGGAGATGATTGATGTTCAAATGTCGCGAGCTACAGTACTACTCTAAGACCACCAGACTGAGAATAAACATTGTACTAACCGAGTCAACAGTTTGAATTGGAAGGTCTAAATCTTGGAGGAAGAATGCAAAATACTCTA